CAAGGCAGTTGTCTTACAGTCAGGTTGCTTGCCAGACTCTGTCATCTGGCACTGTGGAGACACTGACATCTCTTTTTAAAACCAATGCCAAACCAGTCAGGCCAGACTTAGGGTCACCAGGTGGGAAGAAGACCTGTCAGCCACAGCGTGCCAAGTCAAGAAAAGTATTAATAAAGCTGCTAATTTTTTTGATCTGTTGTGGGGCCTGAGCTCTGGGCCTGGGTGCTGTCCCTGAGCTCTTCAGTTCAAGGCTAATGTTCTACCACTTGAGCCACAGTGCCTCTTCTGAAGCTGTTAATTTTGCCTATGCAAAGTGTTAGAGTTGCCTCTGGGCTGACAAAGGAAATCTTGTGTCCTTCGTTGGATTTCCAAATATCCAGATGTGTGGATGCATTGATCTTCCCATTTTTATCTCATTGCTTGTCATTATATAGACCCTCATGGTACATTTTGGCTATTGAGTAGCACCAAATTGGAGGAAGTAGAAGGTGGGTGAACAAAGGGCATTTAAATCTGTGGGTAAGACTTATTTAGACTTGGAAACTTGCTTCCTATGATAAACCAGGAGGGATTTCTTTTTCCTTCTTTTGATTATTTTTAGTCCTATTATCTTTAAGTAGTTGCACAAAGGGATTTCAACTCAGCAGGTCGGTTTGTGTGCACAATGCATCTTGATCAAGGTCATCCCTTCCATCATTCTCCTTTATCTCTCCCAACCCTATCAAACTCCTCACGTTACCTGGTTTCATTTTCACAGAAGTACAGTGAATAGTATGACTGTGTTCATCTGCTCTTCCCAGGAGGGATTTCTGTAGTTGATGGCTCAATCCATTAAGAGATTGCTCTGATCTTCAGAAAGAAAAGTAGATTGTGCTGAAGATTGAGTTAGCTTACCATGGTTGAACACTTAGCATATTTTCTCTGTATCATTTCCATCTTCTACTTCACTTTTTAAAAAGTATGTAATTGGTATGGTATATTCATCGTCATCACTTTCTGGGAACAATAGAAGTGGAAAGATCCTGATATTCACAAAAGAGGGGCCATAGGCCTAAATAATGAAACATATAATTTGATGTGTGTTGCTACAAAATGGAATGGGAAATGAAGAGTATGACATTGAGTCCTTGAGCAGAAATGGATCAGTACTGGATGATACAAGGACATGTCCAAGATAACCTTTTGAGGACTTTTTTTTTTTGCCTTTGGCTTCAATAATTCCCTGACAACAGCTGTACCTGTAAAATGTGTCAGGTCCAGTAGCAGGGTCAGGGGCTGCTGTCACTTGGCAGACTTCAACAACATGACCCTGGCAAAGACTTTGGAATAAAAACATCAGGAAAATAAACACTCAATGCTCCATAGCCAGAGGAGCATCTGGGAGCTGTCAGGTTGAAATACTAGTGTATTTGAGAAGGGAAAGAAAAGAAGCAAGGTCTTTGACACGGCTCTGCCTCCTGGAAAATACCTCTCCAGTAGCAGAGTTGATGCCAAACACATCAAATTAATTAAGAAAAGAGATAGAAAAAATATTAAGGCTCAGCTTCTATTCCAGCCAGCTTGTCAATCAACTCCCTTTCAGGAACAGGGTGTGGCCTGGGCCTGGGAAGGAGAAGACCAGGAATAACAAATAAGGACAAATCTCACCTGTGGGGAGCCCTCCCTATCTGTGTGGAGAGATGGAGCACAGACTTGGGAACTAGGCAGAAAAGCATGATCAGACTGAAGGAGAAGGAAGTAAAGGACATAAATGCAGGGGATGGGCAGAGTGGAGGCTGCAGTACATACACACAAAGTATGCAAAACATACACCAATAATAGACCAAGGCATTGTGTTAGTAGATAGCCTGATTATGTTTCAATAATATACAACCTATGGAGGAAAACATTCTCTCTTCTATATCACACACACACACACACACACACACACACAGAAAAAGATATTAAATATTCCTCACATAGATACTAGAAATGCACATCAGTAGAGACTCTTTTATACTTCTTCTTTCTATTTTTTGTCTTTCTATCTTGCACAGCTGGGGATCATACCAAGATCTCATTCATATCAGTCAAATACTATACCTCTGAATTACATCTCTGCCCTTAGCTCAGTTTTTATGGAGAAACTCCATGTCTAAAAGGAAGATACTCATAGGGGAGGAACACAAAGGTGCCATGCCTATGTGCCTCTGATCATACAAAATAATATTTATCGAAATGAGCTGTCAAACTGGAAATCAGAGGTTTTTAATTTGTTACTGTTTTTGTTTTCTTTTTATTTTGTTGGTTCATTTATCTATCTTTGGTAGGGCAAGGGGTTACAGAAATGGAGGGACAAAAGGTGAACAAATACAGCAGCAATATACCAGACACTGTGTTGAAAATGAACTATACAACTGGTGGGTGGGGATGGGAAGGAAAAACTGGGATAGAGCAAGGGAAGGGGTCACATTGTCCAAATGTACTCTTTACCTGACTTATATATCTGTAACTCCTTTATACATCACCTTATAATAACAATGCAAAATAAAACAACTCCCTACATATGTTTTTGCTATTGTAAAGACTTCAGAGTTAATGATTGGAGCTTTCATCTTTCAAAAGCTGAATTGGTGTCATACAGACATGAACTCTGAGAATTAATGTTCCATACAAGTGTTGAAAATGTGTTGTGAATATTATCTAGCTTTAAAACAGTGGGATGGCTTAGTTAAGTCAGTACTAAGTAAACTAAAAATTATGTATTTTGATCACTTGACATTGGGCAGTCAAAATAATTCTTTGAGCATTTTCAGCAGATCCTATTTGTATGGTGGGTGTGTCTAACTCATCACAGAGATGCTTTGACCCTTTTCTCCTTGAATCTCTCTATCTTCATCCTCAGTGCCCAGAAATAAGATTTGCTCAAGGGTTCCCCAATAGCTACATTCTGAAAGCCTACAATTATATTGCAGTATAACTCAGTGGCATGCATGCATGCATGCATGCATGTATGCGTGTGTGCGTGCATGTATGCGTGCATGCGTGCGTGTGTGTGTGTGTGTGTGTGTGTGTGTGTGTGTGTGGTATGTGCAAAAGAACAGAGACACCATTATATATCACTATATTCTCTTTTAGAGACTCTTGGTAGAGCATTATCACTTGCCAATATTCTGCTGGGGAGAAAAGAAGTCTGCAGATGGTAAACTTTATCCTGAATGTGAGCAGGGAGCTGATCTCATAACACCCAGCCTCAGATAGCTTGTGTCACAAAGCCAAGCCTAGCTGTGATTACTTTGCATTTATATAGGGCTTTATTTGGCTCCTGTATGTCAATATCATTAGTGGGAGATAACTCACCAGGAGTTACAGAAAAAAAAAAAAAAGATCAAAAAGGAAAAAGAAGACTAAGCTTGACGGATCTGAGTAATTTCATAGAGGCTTATGGTTAATCATCAGGAGGAGGCAAATATGCTAAAATATGCTATTTAAAAGGGAAAAGCAGCAGTAACTTTCAATAGTAAGGGTCAAATGACAAATGATGGGAGTCTGAATGTTGGTTCCACTACTTATTGTTTGTGTGGATTTGAGAAAAATTATTTAACCTCTATGATCCTTAATTTTCTCATTTGTTAAATGGAGATTTTATAGCATATAGTAATGAAATGGAATTTTATTTCTAGCACTATAGCCAACAAGAATGCTTTACTATGAAGTATTTAGAATTCCTGGAAAAGATATAAAATCTTCCTTTAGATGCATACCTGAGCTTGCTACTACAAAGAAAGCAAGGTCTCTCAAAGCACTAAGAATCAGAAGAGAACTGAAAACCTGAATAGTAAATTTGGGAGCAGATCCTAGAGCCTCTCCAGAGTCTATTTGGAGATAGTTGCTGATCTCAGTAGCCAAAAAAGATTAGGATTTAATGGTCATGTAGGAAAAAGAATCAAATGTCAGCCCAAATAGAGAATAAGAAAAATATGTGCCCACTTGTAAAGTGAGGAGATAAAACAAACAAACAAACTTATTTTGGTTTGAGTTCTGGACTGTTCAGCTTATAAATCAAATTAAAAAGTATGAAAACAAATCCAAGCCAAGCACTGGTGGCTTATTCCTGTAATTCTACTCAGAAGGCTGAAATCTGGTTTGAAGCCAGCCTGTGCAAGAAAGTCTCTGAAACTCTTGCCTCCAATTAACTATTAAAAATAATGTGAGTGGAGCTATAGCCCAAGTGGAAGAGTGCTAATCCTGAGCAAAAGAAGCTCAGGGTCAGTGCCCAAGTCTTGAGTTCAAGTCTCAGGACTGGACCAGTGTCCACACATGCACATGCACACACATACACAAACAATCAAAAAACAATGTCAGACATATCACATGACAGTTTAGGATTTTTAAGAACTTAAGGCACTGCATTATCAAATCCATGTAATGAAATAAATATTTATGTGATTAAAGGAAGAGAAAAAAACAAATGAAAAAGAATGAATATTATGGACACACATATTTGTTTTGTTTTCCATATCTCATGGAAAGGAATGGGGTTGGACGTTTAAAGCCAAAAGCTCCTATTCAGCAGTGTCACTCAACGGGAAAACCAAGTGGATCGAAGTATATCAGTTGGCCATTAGTGAAATTACTGCTTGCAAAATGAGGTATGTGAAATACTATTGTATACTTCAGTATTTGTTCAAATAAAAGCTTCTAATGCAAACAACTATTGCTGAAATTCTATGGATGGGGTTGCTCATGGTCTGTAGGAGTATGGCTTAGTACAACTACTTTGAGAAGGATTTGGGCATTATCTGATGAGATTGAAGGTACACATATCTTAGGAGCCAGCAATGTTTTTGCTGAGTGCATAACCCATAAAAAGACACAGCTATATGACCTGTATTCTGATCCATAATGTTCATTGCACCATTGTTCATAGAAGCTCCAGACTGGAAACAAAAAATGTTCAAAGCAGCAGTTTGTGATCTTTCCTGGCAGAAGGCTGTGGGGTCTGGTGGCGTCTAAGCCCTCCATCTTGTCAAGATGCTCCAAAGCTTTATTAAAACTGTCTGGATCCCCCTGAAATCCTACTACACCCAAGTTTACCAGGAGATCTGGGTAGGGATGGGGTTGATGGGCTTCATGGTGTATATGGTCAGGAGTGCTGACAAAAGTAAGGCTTTGAAAGGTTCTACACCTTCTCATGGCCATCATTAACCAGCTCCTTTGAATGCACAAAGGGAAACGCCAGCCTGCCTGCACATTTAAGCAAACTTTGTTAGATGGGAGCATGGAACATCGCTGTACATATACTTGTAGGAGCACCACTTCTTTTTTTTGGGGGGGGGGGTCCAGTCATGGGGCCTGAACTCTGGGCTGGGCGCTGTCCCTCAGCTCTTCAGCTCAAGGCTAGCGCTCTACCACTTGAGCCACAGCGCCACTTCTGGCTTTTTTTTTCTTTTTGCTTATGTGGTGCTGAGGAACCCAGGGCCTCAGGCATGCAAGGCAAGCGCTCTACCACTGAGCCACCTTCCCAGCCCCAAGCACCACTTCTTATGTAGCACAAATAACATGTATCTGTAAGATGCACCACACTGTGCAGGTTCTAGTGTGTCCTCCCTGGGGGTCCTGCTAATGCAGCAGGCACATTGACAGCCTCACCTGGTCATCATCTTAGGAAACGAGGGATGGCGAGCAGATGGCCTCCAGGGTCTCAGATGTGGCCCTGGTCACAACCTAGGTACTCAATCAATTGTAATGTTCAATAAACATGCCATAAATGACTACTCTGCAGCCAAAAAAAATGTTCAGGGCAGTAGAATAGCTGAACATTTGGTATATTGGACAGTGGAATATTATATATATATATATGTATATATATATATATATATATGCCCCCAAACAAATGACTTGCATCTGATCATAATAATAGAGAGAAAAATGTTCATCAGAATATCAAGACATGAAAATTTACAAATAGAGTATTATTATTATTATTATTATTGTGCCAGTCCTGGAGGTTGAACTCAGGGACTGAGCACTCACTGTCCCTGAGCTTTTTTGCTCAAGGCTAGCACTCTACCACTTGAACCACAGCTCCACTTCTGGCTTTTTTGGTGATTAATTGGAGATAAAAGTCTCATGGTCTGTCTGCCCAGGGCTGGCTTCAAACCAAAATCCTTAGAACCTAGCCTCCTGAATAGGTAGTAATATCCATGTGAGTTACTGGCACTTGGCTAAAATGTATTATTTTATGAAGTTCAAAACAGAATGAAATAAATGGTATTTTATTAGGAATGCACACCAAGGTAGTAACTATTTTTAAGACAAAGATATGATTACCATAGAATTGAAGAGTATGGCTGGGTAAGGTGGCTCATATTGTAATCCTAGCTACTCTAGGAGGCTGTAATCTGAGGATTGAGGCTCAAAGCCAGCCAGAGCAGGAAAGTCCCTGAGAATCTTATCTCCCATTAATTAGCAAAAAGCCACAAGTAGAAGCCAAGTGGTGAGTGTCACCCTTGAGTGAAAAAACTAAGGGACAGTAGAAAGGCCTTGAGTTCAAGTCCCAGTACCAGCACACACACGCACACACAAAAAGGAAAGAGTGAAGAGTAAGAGGCACTACCAGAACCTGGGGTCTGGCAACATTTTATTTATCAGTCTGCAACTGTAGCTACAATAATTAATTCAATAATGTATGTATATTTTACCCACACATGTGTTGTGTACTTTTACTTCAGATTTGTAAAAGTTTAAAAGTAAATTAGATGGGTCAGAAAAAATAAAACCTATACACAGGCAGAGAATTACAGAGTTTACAGAAAAAATATGAGAAATAGTTCTGTTAGTTAGCACAAAGATATGGAGAATATATAATATCAGAGAATGAGAAGTTCCAACATCAAATTCTACAAGTTTTTGGGAAGGAGAATAAGGAAAAAATTTTATGGTTGGGAGCATGGCTTTCAGTGGTAAAATATTTGCCAAGGATGCAGGAGTTCAATCCCCAATTAAGGGCTCAATCCTGGGTAACTGAAAGTAACAATTTACCAGAATTAATAGAAGATATTAATTTCAGATTTAGATAGCTCATGTTTTTAGCTAAATCAATTAAATTGAACCCACACCCAAATGTTCAAGGGGAAAAGCGAGAGCAAACACAGAAGAAAAAAATTCCCTTCAAATTAATAATAACTACTCAGGAGGCTGAGATTTGGGGATTGCAGTTCAAAGCCAGCCCTTCAGGAAAGTAGTCCGTGAAACTCTTATCTCCAATAAACCACCAGGAAACTGGAAGTAATGCGGTAGCTCAAGTGATAGAGCACTAGTCTTGAGCTGAAGAGCTGAGGGACCACGCTCAGGCCCAGAGTTCAAGCCCCAGGACCTACAAAAAAAATTAATAATAACTATTCACAGTACTTTTCAGAACCAACAATAGGGAGCAGACAACACTAAATGATGCATTTCGAGTTCTGAGGTTTTAAAAATCACCAAGAATCCTATGCTTAGCTATACTATAATTCAAGAGTAGGAGTAAACAATTAGCCAAGTGAAGTGACAGCCTACAAAAATGGGAGAAAAATCTTTGCCAGCCATTCATCATCTGACAGGGGAATTCATATTCAGAATATAAAAGAACTCAAAATAATTAAACACCAAAAGAACAATTAGTCCAAATAATAAATGAAAAATCAAATTAAATAGACAGTTCTCAAGAGAATACAGACAAACAATATCCTTAGCCATTTGGAAAATGCACACCAAAATGAAATTAAAGCCAAGTATTAGTAGTTCCTACCTATAATCCTAGCTATTTAGGAGGCTGAGACCTAGAGAATCACTGTTTCATCCTGGGCCAACCAGCAAAGTGTCCAGATGGAGGTATTACACAAGTGGTAGGGCACCAGCAGTTATCAAGAAAACTGAGTGGGAGCATGAGGTCATGAGTTCAAGCCCTAGTACTGACATTCCTGCGCGGGCACGCATGCGCACACACACACATACGCACAGGTCATTGAGACTTCATGAAGGTAAACAGTATCTTCTGCTGAGAATTGAGACTGAGCACCAGCCCACACCCCCAAAATGAAATAAAATTATTTTCCTATAAAAAAGAAAATAAAACATTTAAAATATTAACCTTTCACCGACCACAAACAAATCTCATTAAATGAAAAGAGTTAACGTTCTGAGGCCACACAGGAATGACTATAAAGAATTCATTATTAGCCGGGCGCTGGTGGCTCACGCCTGTAATCCTAGCTACTCAGGAGGCTGAGATCTGAGGATCGCGGTTCAAAGCCAGCCCTGGCAAGAAAGACCGTGAGACTCCTATCTCCAATAAACCACCAGAAAACCGGAAGTGGCGCTGTAGCTCAAGTGGTAGAGCGCTCGCCTTGAGCTGAAGAGCTGAGGGACAGCGCCCAGGCCCAGAGTTCAAGCCCCACGACCGACAAAAAAAAAAAAAAAAAGAATTCATTATTAATAGCAAAAAGAAAATCCCCATGAGGAGTACCAAGGAAGGATCTCAAAGCATAAAAATGGAAATTAGATAACAGTTAGATTACAAGTGCATAACCAGAACATGTAAGGAACACCAAGAATGAACCCCAGCTTATGGATTTGGGGTGATAATGTCAATGCAAATTCACCAAGTAAAGGAACTGTACTGTGTGTGTGTGTGTGTGTGTGTGTGTGTGTGTGCTCGGCCTCCTGTAGTAACTTTTTTTTTTTTTTACTATTAATGCATTTTTCCCTTTCTGTGCAAACATTTTTTATTATCTTTAAGTAGTTGTACAAAGATGGTCCCATTCTACAAAACTGTATTTGAGAACAAAGTGTCTGACAACATTGTCACCCATCTCTTCTAACCCATCCTTTCTCTCACTTTTTTCTTTAATTGAGATTAAGTGATTACATAAATTTCACATATTTCACAGTATTGTGGAATAGTGATAGTTAAGGTCACAAACACATTTTAACCTTCACAAGGCAAATTGTCATTATCATGGTCTATACAGTTTGTGAATTCTATGACCTTTGACATTATAAGTTATTTTTTCCACATCAGGTCATGTTTCTATTTCTTTCCTTTTGCCTAGTGTAGGCTGTTCCCACTTATTCTGTTCTTCCTCCTGGCTTCCCTCTGTTGTGTGTGTATATCTACCATGTATATGGTTAAGAACATGGAATCATTTAGCAATGACATGACAAAATGGGTGGCTGTCCTTTGTTTCTTGAGTCCTATGACTTTGCCATATCTTCTTGTATTTTGACTTTAGCATCAACATATCAGGGAGACCATGTGCCGTTTGTCTCTTTGTTCTTGGCTTACTTCACTCAAAATAATCTGCTCTAGTTCCATCCATTTCCCTGGAAATGCCATTATTGTGTCCTTTCTAATGGCTGCATAATATTCCATTGTATATAGGTACCACAAATTTTGGATCCACTCATCAGTAGTGGGGCATCTGGGTTGTTTCCAAATCCTGGCTATTGTGAACAATGCTGCAATAAACATGGAGGTGTATGTGTCTTTTTATACTGGTTCCTGTTGCTCAGGGTAGATGCCTTGGAGTGGTATGGCTGGGTCATAGGGGAAGTCTGTATTTAGGTTTCTGATGTACCTGTAGACTGCTTTCCAAAGTGGTTGTGTTAGTGTACATTCCCACCAGCATGCAATAAGGTTCCTCTTTCTCTGCATCTCCTCCAGCACTTGTCATTGGCTGAATTTAGGATGTGGGCCATCCTGACTGGTGTAAGATGATAGCATTTCCTTATGTGTTTCTTTACCATTTTTATCTTTTCTTTTGAGAAGTCTCTCTTTAGTTCCCTTGCCCATTTCATGATTGATTTGTTAGATTTGTAAGGGGTTAGTTTCTTGAGCTCCCTGTATATAATGGATATTAGACCCTTGTCTGATATTTTGCTGGTAAATATTTTTCCCAATTAGTTGACTGTCTTTCTAGTTTGGTTGCTATTTCTTTGTCTGTGCAGAAACTTTTTATTTTAAGGTAGTCTCATTTGTCCAGTCTCTCTCCAATTTGTTGAGACCCTGGGACTCTGTTCAGGAAGCTCCTGCCTGTGCCTATAAGTTCAAGTGTCTCTCTACTCTGTCCTGCAGTAGTTTCAGAGTATCAAGATTGATGTTAAGGTCTTTAATCCATTTTGAGCTGATGTTAGTGCATGGAGACGGGCTAGGGTCCACTTTCATTTTTCTGCATGTGGCCACCCGGTTTTCCTAGCACCAATAGTTAAAGAGGTTATAATTCTTCCACAGTACACCTTTGGCTC